CCTCACATAATACAAGGCACAATTAGGCCGTTCGCATGCGTTTTGTTTATACTGTTTTTATTTTTGGATTGGTACAATATCAATTTTGGTAATAAAAATATGTTTGATGCGGTCTTATTTTATTTTACACAGTATTAAAATACTTCGTAAACAATGGCTCAAAACTAAAATACCAAAAATATTTTTTTTTTTCTTATTTTAACAACCGTTCATAACCCAAAACCATAACTTTGTATGTTTCTGTTTCCGACATTTTCATAGCAAAACATTATTCTCAAACGTGCTTTTAATTTTTTTTTTCGAAACACAAAAATACTGTTTCTATTTTAGTAAAAAATAAAGCTTATCTACCACATAAACATTAACTTGGATCCTCCAAATTCTGTTGTCTAAGTATTGGTTCAATGTGCAAATCACGTGACCATAGTGTTTCAGGTCCAGGGACTTTCATTGGTCATCTCAAGTTGCAATTTTTTCCTTTTTCTTGCACATTTTATCCAGAAAATTCACCAAGATCAAAATTTGGGTTAACAATATTATTATGAGCAAGTCCTGTAACGTCAATATCATAGAATCTGTAAATCTACCGAGACAATTGGTGATAGTAAGAAAAGTCATGTTTTAAGTAAGTTTGACTAGAATTAAGTTGTTCAATCAATCCACAGCATTCCTTTCCATTGAAATTAGGAATATTTTAACTTACTCCATTAATTATTGAAAATTATAGTATAATGGAGACTCTTCATCTTAAAAAGGGGTTATTACATAGTATAAATAATGTTAATGATTTATATTTATTATTTATTGAAATTAAAGTCTCATAATTTTAAAAAAATAAAGACAAAAAAAATATTGTTTACTTTGTACCACTTTTAGGCACATAAGTATTATTTTTTGTGCATGCAGGTACCACTTTTTGTGTTGCACAAAAAGTGATACCTATGTGTGCACAAAAAATGATACATATGTGAATAAAAGTGGTATCTTTATGCCTAAAATAAAAGTGGAACTCTCGTGCATAAAAAGTGGTATTTATGTGCCTAAATGAGGATAAATAATATTTTTTTTCATATCCACATTAACATTTTGATCAACTTTATTTTTTCAAAATTATGAGACTTTGACTTCATTAAATCGTAAATATAGGTCATTAGCATTATTTATATGTAATAATCCCTCCAAAAATATTGAAGGATGGAGATTCAAATCTTCTAAAGATAAAAGTGAATATTTGAGTTATTTAGTAGGGAAAAAAAAAAAAACACTTCATTATTTTACTTACTTTTAAAATTAAAAAATTTATAGATTAATTATAAAATATTTTTCTCAATAATATGATTTTTTATTTTTTATGTTTATGCGTCTCATGCTAGACGTGCACAACATACAACCATATGTATAATCTGCATGACAAGACATTCTAGAATTTTTTATAGTTATATAGAGTTATCATACAACGATATAGATAGTCTGCATGACAAGGCATTCTAAAATTGTCTATAATTATATAGAGTTAAATGAACTTGTGTAGCATTCTAGAATTGTATAGTAACTTTGTAATTATTTTAGATATTCTTCCCTCTTTTTTTTTTAGAATTTTATGGTAGAATTCTCTCAATTGTGGATATGTGTATGGATAGTATCAGGGGTAGCAATTTGTGTTCGCGGATCGTAATCGTGTCGTGTTAATTTAAGGGTATTATACTAAACACCTCAACCCGAACACGACCCGTTTGATAATCGTATCAAGAATTTTCAACACTAACACGACATATTTATTAAACGGGTTACACGTGTAACCCGTTTAATGACCTATTTACAATATATATATATATATATATATAAATTATTAATAATAGTTAATAAAATAATAAATATTAAAAAATATATATAATTTTTAATCAACCAAATTACTAAATAGTTATAATTTACAAAAGATTAAATTATAAGATACAAGTTTATATAGTAATTTTAAAACTTAAACAGAAATTTATTTACGACATATATAGTTAAACGTGTATAAACGGATTACACAGGTTGAACTTTTCAACCCAAATGCGACACGATTAACTAAACAAGTTAATTATGTCAACTCGTTTATGATCCGAACTCATTTAATGTCAATCCAAACCTATTTAACTCGTGTCGTGTTCGAGTCATGTTGACGGATCGTGTCAACTTTTGCCACTCCTAAATAGTATTCCTTTGGTGTGAAGTCATTGGCTTATAAATAGAAGTGGGAGCAATTTGGTCCATGCCAAACAAGGAAGATTTTTATTGTGTCACACCGTAATTTTTGTCATGTATTGTAAGAAAAAGATGGCCCTATCCACAACCAATATACACTCCGCCGGTTGTGACTCTTGTCATATCCAAAAATTGAACAACCAATTTCGCATATATGCACATGTCACCTCTCTCTGAATTGAACAAGCAATTATAGAAGGGAAAAAAATAAAACAAGCAATTTCATACTAGAATAACAAAAGTAAGAAATTGTTATATTAGGGCAGTTCACTAATTTTTCACTTTCTTAATTTTACTTTATGCAAAATCATAATTTTTATTTCTGAAGCTGAAATATCAAGTATAATCTCTTTCAATATTTTCAAAGCAAGAAATTAAAAAACAATTTCAATAATTATAATTTTTATTTTTATTTTGATTTTACAAAATTTCTTCAATCATTCTCTCTCATTTATGTAACTTCAGAATTGAACCCAATTCAATATACCCACCACCACCCAAAACCTCCATTACCATCACCTAAACCAATTTTCACCAAACAAATTCGAACCAACAAAACACAGATACATTGCAACCCTTAAAAATAAAAATACAGAGAAAAAAATAGTAGCAGAGAGCTGCCAAGTGCAAACACCACCACCTCCACCCAAAACTTCCATCACCATGCCACCACCCATCACTGCTTACTGCAAAACTCAAAGCATCGACACCCTAGCCGCCACTGCAACCTAATCACAGAGAACCCAAGTCCCAATCCAAGGAACAAAAACCAAACTCCTTTGGTGTGAAGTCATTGGCTTATAAATAGAAGTAGGAGCAATTTGGTCCACGCCTAACAAGGAAGGTTTTTATTGTGTCACACCATAATTCTTGTCAGGTCTTGCAAGAAAATAAAAAAGAACTACCCAATTGCGATTTATTTAATTCAATACAAGATACAGAGTTTCATATGTAGCATATGTGATATGCCTTAAACCCTCTCCTCTCTTCTTGAGCTGTTTCACTCTTGGTGGTGTGTGCTCATGAGCCATTCAAGAAAAGCATAATATGTTCTTCTAAAAAACAGATCACTTATAGCTTCTCCAGCGGACTCTTCAAAGCCCAAATTGGCGAGCAATTGGCCTTTGTAGGCCACAGCGGGCTCGCTTAATGCGAACGGGCCCACAGGCGCTCGTAGGCCTGCTCCCACGACGTTGTTTGAGGCTGGAAAAAAAAAAAAAAATTTAAACTGCAGCCCACAGATATTTTTTCAAAACTAAAGAGAACTTAAAGGCCTGTTTGGTTGGTCCCTAAACCCCGAAAACTAGTTTTTCACATTTTTTTGGTCTCTCTCCCTCTCTCTTTTTTTTAAGTCGTTAAATAAATAATATAGTCCTTAGGCACTGTTTGGATGTTTGGCTGGTCCCTAAACCCCAAAAACTAGTTTTTCACATTTTTTTGGTCTCAAATTTTTTTTTTTTTTTTTAAAAAAATCGTTAAATAAATAATATAGTCCTTAGGCACTGTTTGGGTGACCCAAATAGTGCCTAAAGACTATATTAGCCAACAAAATAATAAAAATAAACTCTTTTTTTTTTCAAAACTTTTCCCCCTCTTTTAAATATGCCGATGTATATATTTTTTAAAAGAAAAGGTAAAAATAAATAATAAATAATAATAAAAAACTTTTCAACTCTATAAATACCCCACTCATTTCTAATCGAAAATTTTATAATTTCATAATAAATATTTTATTACATAAAAGTTCATAACATCTTCAAAGCATAATATAAATAAATAAAGACCTAAAAAACAGAATTTAAATGTTTTCATCACCAAAGCAGTTTCACAAATGTTCAATCAAATCTTTTCTAAACTATGCATTTGTCTCTTGGTTGCGAATCTGGAATCAGCGAGCGTAGATTTGTGCTTCTAAAATCGAGGGTTCTTAACTAAAAGTTAGAATCGAGATTGTATCGTCCGGAGGAGTCCATCTTTCTAAATTGGTGTGCCGCTCATCTTCGGCAATCATGTTGTGAAGGATAATGCATGTTTTCATAATGATGCACAAATCTTCTTTATTCCAAAACTTGACTGGTCATTGCGTGATTGCCTTCTTAATTTGTAAAACCTCAAAGCTCGTTCCACATCCTTCTTGCAGGCTTCTTATTTTTGAGCAAATAATCTTTCTTTCGCAGTGGTTGGGTGCAGGATGCTCTGCATCAAAGTTGTCCACTTAGAGTATATACCATCAACCAGGTAATACCCCATTCGATATGAATGCCAATCATTAAAAAATTAACTGGGGTGATCGACCATTGATGATACTATTGAATATCGGGGAATAATCCATCACATTTATATTATTATGTGAACCCGACATTTCAAAAAATGCATGCCAAATCCACAAATCTTTTTACGCAACCGCTTCTAATATGAGAGTAGCCCTAAGTTGCATATGTCGTTAGTTTAAATGGACCAAAAAAATATAACAAAGTTGCCTCTTAAAAAAATTAATTGACATTGATAAATGATAGCTTTAAGCTTAATTATTTTATTTTTAATTATCACTTAAAAACTTTATTACTCAAAATTCAATTCTCGTAACATTTTCAGAACTTAATTTTTAGTTTTCTCAACCACCACCTAAGAGAAAGATTAAGAAAAAAAAAAACATTATTATTTATTTCTCCTCTCCATCGAGTATAGGGTGAACTAGATACCTATCTAACCAAAAAAACAGAGGTCGTTGTTATTATTACACCAAGAACGTTTTAGCAACACTTCTCAATTAATTTGACAAACTCATTAAAGTCAATGAGTCCATCCCCATTTTCATCAAATGCACTAATCATCCTTGTGCACTCCTCCACCTGTGATCTCTCCACTAGCCCTAAACTAATGACAACTCTCTGCAACTCAGTTGCATCTATGAACCCATCTTGGTTCACATCAAACACACCAAAAGCTTCCTCCAACTCTTCAAAACAAGGCTCTTCATCATCAAACATTGTTGAAAACTCTTCTACACCAAACTTGTCATCATCAGCTCCAATTGGATCATATGATATGCCCAACCTGTCCATCACCATCTTCAGCTCTCCAAAGCAAAGTTCTTGACCATCATCAATGGGGTTAATCTCATGATCATCAATGGGAAAGCACTGCTGGCACTTCAGTGGTTGATCAGTGTTTCGGCTTTTCGTGTTGGTCCAAGTTTTCCATTTGGTGGGGATGAAAGCTAAGGGAGTTTGGAGAAAGTAGTGGACATCTGAGAGAAAATTGTGAACTCTGATGTCCCAGTAGAGGATTCTGAAGAAAGGTAGGAATTCCATTTGGAGAGAGAGAGAGATTTTAGTGTTGGTGATACAAGGAATGCAATGGACATTGTTAATTTATATATGAGGAGAAATTGGATTCTGTTTGAAGGTTTCTGGATAACAAAATTTTCTGTGTGTTTTCCTGGAAATGGTTGAGGTGTAACAACGAAGAGTGTCTCTGTCACTGTGTGTCTGTGTGTGTGGAAAATCCCCATTAAAGGAGTATGAAAGGGGTCGTCTACCAAATGACTTTGAGGGTGGTGGTAAAAAATTCTGAACCTTCAATGAAATTGCAAATGCTTCGGATACACGTATCTTATTTCATTATTTATTGAGAATTGTATTCAAATAGTGTCGCTTTTCCTTAGAAAAAACAAACTTGCCTGCATTATTTACCTACGTACTATAAAAACCATTTTGTCCAAAACTTCCATTTGGACAATGTGGTATTTAATCGTGCAGCACCAACTTTCTTTTTTTTTTTTTTTTTCACTACTAATTCCAAGCCTAAACAATGTTGTCAATCACTCAATCTTGGACTGATAACCCTTTTATTTTATTTTATTTTATTTTATTTTTTTGAAAATTCAAGTCAATTTATATAGTATTAACAAGTGTAGTACAAAGCCCAGTAGAGAGTTAGCCAAAGGCTAAACAAACCACAACCGGCCCAAAGGTCTACAAGAGTGAAAGTATGCAATGGGGTCGAAGGTTTGGACCAGATCAATTTGGTCCAAGGTAGGGAAGGTATTTGGTGAAAGTGGTGTTTCAGTGTGAGGCTATTGAGAAATTGCCTGAGGGAGAAGGACACCAAATGAACTTGTCCTTTCTGTAATGGTTGGGGATTGGAAGGGAAAAGTAGCACTGCAATTGGGGTAGTATATCAGTTATGGCATTTGGGAAAGACCATGTGGAGGTTGTAATGAATGAGCTTAGCTTTGTCTTGCTGTCATGTCCTGAATCATTGATTTGTTTCTTATATTCTTGATATAAAAGAACACTTGCAAGACTTTAAGACATAAAAGTATATTGGAATATGGTTAATCCATTTTAACACGAGATTCTTCTAAAAACAGATTCAAGATTATGCCACGTAGGCGAATAATATTGACAATAGTCCTGATCGACAAAGCATTTCAGAATTCTTTGTAGAGTTGTATAGAATGGTATAACATTATCTAAAACACTTTAAAATTGTATAGTAACATTTATATATATATATATATATATATATATATATATATATATATTGGAGGGTTCTAGATATTCCTATTCCAAAATTCCAATAGATGGAATCCATTTCTTACCATTTAGTCTATAAATAGGAGTGGAGCTAATTTGTTATTTATCTTTCACCCAGTGTAAAAGTTAGTTCCTCATTTTGTTATATTTCCTTCTCATGTCTTTCACAAACAAAACCATCCTTAAGAATACATTCAAAGCTAATATATATCGCTGCTGTTGTTATTGTGATTTGCAAGACCCATCACATATAATCCTATTTTCAGAAACAATATCCCTAACTAGAAGGCGGCTGCTAGTCTCTATAACAAAATAGAATAAGCTATCTTAATTGGAAGAGAACAACAAGAGTAACAAAGACATTTTAATTAAGAGTGAAGAAAAAAATCAAAAAATCAACCTTAAACATTGTGATTTAATTGTTTTTGAGAATTTTAGAATAAAATTGAGAATAAAATGATAGACACTGCTATTTAATTGTTTTATTGAGTGGGTGAGTGAGAAAGAAACGATATCCATGATTTAATTATTTTCTTCAAGCTATATGGTAGAGCTATAAGACATATCCCGGTGCAAGTAAAATTCGAAACAATATTTGCAGAAACGCATGAAGAACACACTCCCAAGTTCCACAACATTTTCCCACGTTAATAGTACTTTTGAAACCATTCCAATATAGCCACCCATTGCGGCCAAATTCTTACTTGTTAACAACTCCAACAACCTCTCACCTCTAACCTCACTCAATGTAAGCACATAACTTCATCTATTTTTTTAAAACAGTGCCCAAGAGGTTAGTTATCAGCAATGAACACACAGCAAAAGTAGTTCAAAACAACACACAACAAAACAAAACAAACCCAATCCAACATAAAAAGAAACAGTGCCCAAGAGGTTAGTTATCAGCAATGAACACGGCAAAAGTAGTTCAAAACAACAGACAACAAAACAAAACAAACCCAATCCAACCTAAAAAGTGCAAATAGAAGAATCATGAAATTATCTAGAATGAATTCAAATCATGGTAAACCTGTCGTTGAGATGGAATTTAGATCTCGAATAGATATGTTCATTATTTCTAGCCATTTCATTTCTTGGTACAGTTTTTCAATGTTCAATATGTTTGAATATATGTCCCATTTATAATTTATATCTCTCCTTTTTCTCTCGTTTCTCTCTAACACTCAGCCGCCACCCTTCGTTCCTCCCTTCTATTTGCTCGAGGGAGTGGGGAGGTGCCGAACCTCGCCTTTCACCGCTTAATAAACTCGGCGTGGTATAATAAGTTCGCTTGGTGGGTGGATTTCACGCCGTTTTGCTGTTGTTTTGCTAGATCTATTTCTATTTGACTTGTTTCTGGCTCGACGGAGTGGATCTGTTGTTTTGTCTCCGGCTAGATCTTTGATCTATGTCACGTTTTGGTGTCCCCGCCTTTTTGTGCTGGGTTTGGGTGGTTTTTCCCCAGTCGGCGGCGCCTTGTGGATACAGCCTTAGAGCTGTTGCCTTGATGATAGCCTGAGCTTTGGGTCACTTCCGTTGCTGCTCTGCTTTGGGTCACTCCTGTTGCTGCTTTTCTCACTGGGTGGTCCGCTGGTGTGTTTTGACTTGTTTCTCAACAAATCGGAGGCATGTTCTTCATTTTCTTCTTTTATTGCTTTTTGATTTGTTTGCCTTTGTACGTTGTGTTGGAAACGGGGACATTAAAAGCATAAACTTTGGATGAGATTTGAAATAAATTCCGCTAATAATTTTTTACGGATCTCTAGACAAGCGCATTTCTCTCCGTAAGAAGATGAACGTGGTATATTTACTTTCTCAAATCCGTTTCCGGGTGAATGAGAAATTAGCTCCAAAGTGTGGTATTTTGATAAGCTTAAATGGGTATGCAAAATGTGAGAAATGTTTGTCCCACATGAAAAAAAATGTTGAAACAAATTGAAATTTAAATAAGCTGAGTTTAGGATTTGGGCTTGGGCTTGGGCCTAATTGTAAAATCTAGATTATTCTTTTTTGGAATTTTGGATTGGGCCTAATTTTAGGCTGGGCTTGTTTAAATGGGTTTCACAAATGGGTGGGTTTTTTGGGTGGTTGGTTTTTTTAATTAAAAAAATTACTTTTTAGTTTTTCTAAAAGGTTACACCTTTTAAATTAAAAAACCATATTTTAGTTTTTCTAAAGGGTTACACCTTTTAAATTAAAAAACCACTTTTTAGTTTTTTCAAAAGGTTACACCTTTTTCCGAACCATCATAACCCATGGTTGCACCCACTCGAAAAGGCATATTACAACCTATTGGAATGGATGTGTCCATTGGTGAACAGACACCATGTGAACCATTGCAACCTATTGGAATAGATGTGTCTAGTGGTGAACAGACACCATGTGAACCATTGTAACTTATTGCAATGGTTGTGTCCAATAATGAAGAGATACACCCAATCCGAAAAGGCATTTCTGTTTCTATAAATATCCCCCTTTGGATCATTTGCAAGTTGTTCATTTTTCATTTTCTTCTATCTCCCTCTCTAGACTTGAACCCAACCCAAGTGGGTTCAAACCATAGGTTAAGCGGTCCAAACCACTTAGACCCTAATCCAATTTCATCGAACCATATTAAGATTGGTCCTAACCATTTGATTCGAATTCCACCCAAATTAGCATTTATATAGCATATATGCATTTTTGAGTCAGAGAGAGTATTACACGGAGAAGATTCGCCGTATCTACGAGTTTGTAGTGCTGCTACTGGTGGATGTAGACCGTTCTATCCTAGGAGATAGACGCCACTGAGTCCGTTAGCACCATAGCGGGGCGAATCTGTCTTAAGAATATAGTATCCAATACTAGTCTCGGTCCAAGTTCTTTATTTATAATTATTATTTCATTACTTTATTTTGCATCTTTAATTAAATATAGAGTTGCATATTTAATTAATGATTTCTTAGCATATTATTAATTATCTCATGACGTATTAGTATAAGGTTTGTTATATCTTAAATGTCACATGAAACATATATTTTCACTAACAATCTTAAGACAAATTCCTTCCTTGTATAGATTTTATTATATGTTTCTATTTAAGATATAAACAAGTATAGATTATACTAATAATTGAAATATAATAAAATATTGTTATATACATTATTATATGATAATATGCTAAATATTGATGTGTTCAATATTATGTGAAACTGAAGCATGTTATATAAATATAAATAGATAATTGATTTAATTCAATATTGGTTGAGTTATTTTTGTAATATGATATTATGTAGTATATTATATTATCTTAAATTTATACCAAATAGAGATGGTGAATACAAAACACTATGCTCTTATAATTGTTTAGAACTTGGTATAATTCACGAAAAAATGATGAATGCAATGTTGATAAGTTCTGATTTAAATCATAATTTGTGGGGGATAAGTTTTGCTTTCCGCAAACTATGTTCTCAATAAAACACCTTCAAAGAAAACGAATATAACACCATATGAATTATGGAAAGGTCGAAAACCTTCTTATAAATTCTTAAAAGTGTGGAGGTGTCTAAATCTTTTAGTCTTAATTTTCTAGCATGTTTATTGGAGAATGAGCCACAAAACTTTAAGGAAGCAAAATATTCTCTTTAATATTATTATTTGCTAAATTAATTATGTGATATAATTAATCATGCAATTTAATATTAAATTATATTGTTATTTTTGTTTACGCGAGTTCAATATTGTTTTTATAAATATTTACTATAATATTGAATTATGTAGTTGTATTACTT